CAGCAAGACAACGATCCAAAACATGCACTGGAGTGGCTTAAAAACTAAGACAAATGTTCTGCTGTGGCCCAGTCAAAGGCAGGACCTTAATCCAAATGAAAATCTGTGGCAGGAGTTGGAAATTGCTGGTCCCCATCCAACTTGAGCAACCTGAGCAATTTTGCAAAGACAAATGGGTACAAATTGCAGTGTCCAGACGTGCAAATCTGGTAGAGACATACTCAAGATAACTCCTGGCTAGAATTTCCACTAAAAGTGCCTCTACTAAATATTGACTAAAGGGGGAGTGAATACTTATCCAATCAGTTATCTTCTGTTTTCAAATGTATCCTTTAGGAGGATCTACACTATCGAATTTTATTTTCGCTTTGACGTTATATAGTGTTTAGTACCAGTCAATAGTACAAATTACCAAATAAACCCATTTAAGTCCAAATAAATGGATTTATACCAAATAAACCCATTATGATTCAATACTTTCACTCAATAAAATATGAAAAAGTCCAGGAGAGGTGAACACTTTTGAAAGTCACTGAAGTAGCTTCTCCAGCTAGCGGGGATGACATCACTTGACGGGCAGTTCAGAGAGGAGGAGGGCTGCCGGGCTTATATCTGAGTTCTGTCAGCGACCTGTTTGACAGTGTGGGAGCCGAAGAAAAAAAAACTTTGGTACAAAATCAGCAACTTCTAACACAGCAGTACCACGCCGAGTTTTCCCTGGGATTTAATCTGTTTCGTCAGGCCGTTTCCTCGTTAGAGGTAAGACCTTTTTTTTCTTTTGCTTAAAGTCCGGCTTTTATTGTATGCCCTTTTCCTCGGCGCCGAAAAGAAACCATATCTGGGCAAACTATTCAGCTGTCACAAAGCAGGACTAGCTCTGCTCTCTATAAATAGACTGGAATACTCAGTGGAAGAGGTAAGCTATCGTAAAATCACCTCCTTTTTCAAGACGCTTTGATCGGTGGATTTGTTCAAGGCATTCTTTTTTATTTTGTTTGGGAATAGTGATAAATGTGTGCAATTAATAGTTCCCGAAATTAGACATTGGTAGCGCTGTGAAGTGGACATTATTAATGTTAATTATGAAAAAGAAACGCGGCATGAAACAGAATATACTCGTGAAATTATTTGTTAAAGGATAAAGTTTTATTTTTTGAATAGCTAAGTATGTGATATTTGAATGAGTACGTTGCCGGCTTGCAGAATACCGAATTTCATATAGCGATAAAGGTGCGTCTGTAAACCAAACGGGTCTGCTAAATGAACAATGTTGTTTTCAAAAGATGGAAAGAGAGGCAGTGCGGTCTAATTTGGAAGATATTATGGAGACTTGTATTTTTCTTCAAAGTGTAAAATGTGCGTGGGTTTAGAATGTTAAAAGCACTTTAACCAAAGTGAATTTTGGAATTTTGTGAAAAACACGTGTACTGTATGAAGATGTCTTGAAATCATACAAGTACTCTTAGAAGAAAGGAACCAGATTTTGGATTTGACTTAGCACTGATTCATACGCAAATCCATGTTCTTAGAAACTTAGAACAAATGTACATTAGCAAAAGTACACCCTTTCACTGTGTATACCAATTCCAATTTATACAAATAACCCTATTGTGCGTTCTGCATTGCATG